AAAACTCAGTTCAGAATATTCAGTTGCTTCGAAAATGTTCGTGAGCGATAAACGGAAACGGTACTCGACCAAAACACTTCAAAATCGGTAAAACGTTTAACTCTAAACGGCACAAAACTCTCTAAAAGGCACAACAACTACTCACTAGAAACTGTCTAAAACTCTGCCGATAAACGTCCACGCAACTTAAATTCGTAAGCGCAACTAAGGTACGCGTAACTTACATTCAAAATGTTTTCGTGCGCGCGCGTGCTATTCGCGCGTCACGCCACTTCGGAACTGTCTTCTTAACAATACCAATATCTTTTAAGCCATGCATTACATTAAAAGAGCGATTTAAGTTATCTCTGGTAAACTCAATATAATAGAAACAGGTTTTGGTATGTTGCTTTCCTTTTCACTCCTCCTCAGAACACTTTTCACTATGACTCGCTGTACTGGAGGGATGAGAATGAATATAACCTTCCTGGAGGAGAGACTGGGTTTGACTCACAAGAAACCAAGTTACCAACCTATTGGAACACATCTTTCTCCAAGATCTGTCTTGGTATGAAGATCGACCAACAGATTAACTTCATTGTCATCAACAAGCAGGCCAACTCTCTATACTCACTGATCGCTGATGGGCAATACCGCGCCACCTCACTGGGTCGTAACACTTGGAAGAAGTTGATTGGTTCAAAAGCATCCTTACAGCGAAAGTGTAACAAGGAAGGGTTCAATGTTGTGTGTACTGATAGTCGTCATTCAAAAGCAAAAATCGGGATCCTTGGAAATAATGTAAACGACTGCAAGTTATGTGATTCCAGAATCGGGTTTGGAACAGGAGGAAAACATGATGACAAGAACACGTGTGGAAACGAGGCAACCTACTCACCAGATAATGGACGCAAACACATCAAAGCAATGGGTTACATCCTAGTGCAGTGAGAGGAAAGTGACACAGAAACTTTAAAAACCCGTAGAAGATGTGCTGATATTAACAAAGAAAAGTGCAAACAAGAAACTAAAATGATTTTGTTACTTTCATAAGTAGGGCCTGTTAGATTCTTTTTTCTTTTGTAAGAAACAGCTTTCAGCTTTCTTTATATAACAAATAAACGTGTGCTTTAAATTGACTTGTTTAACTGATATCTGAGTATGTTTCATGCACGCATTGCACTTAAGATGAGCCCAACCTTCGACCTTCAAGCAACTGGTGTTCATCCTCACAAATCAGGGAAACTTAATGGAGCGCAAGTATCTTCCAGAGGGCGAGGCTACTTAGATGCGATGCTGATGTTAACCATTGATAAATTCAATCATTTTCTGGAATTAAGTTCCTTGTTAATCTTATACTTTCCCCACACCCTCAAAAAAATTTAACAACAATCCTTGTTCCCTGGAAATAAATGATTCTTAGTAACCGAGTCTTTTCCTCATCGATTTATGGCTCAAGTGCGAGGGGTGACGTCCATAAATCGAAGCTAAAAAATGAGGATCCGTAACTTACAGTACGGACCGAGAGGACACGGTTAGTAGAATTTTTATTGTATCTATACTTGTGAGTCTGCCGGGTTCGGGAACGACTTCTCTTCACGCGAACGGCTTCAAATTTCTGACGCACTTCCAAAGCAAAACGAATCAATTTGAAATCGTTGTTAAGTGACTCTGACGTCGTTAGCAGGTTTTAATGCTCAATTTTAGAAGTAAAAGAAAAAGTTTTAAACGGTTTCTCGCTATAAAAGTTAAGAACACTTGGCGATAAATCACGCAGCATTTTGGCAACGACAACAACTTTAAATTTTAGCGGGCCGTACAGTAGAATAAGGCCCGCTAAACTGGCCAGTCACAGCGTGCGTACTGACTGAGAGACATAATAAACAACCGTATTTCCTTGTTTGCTAGACCCCTGAGAGCAGCAGGAGTTGGTAACGATGCGTTGCAGTGATCTGAGTCTTATTATCCCGTGAACCAGATGTTTTGCACTTGTTCACGCGGCGTTGGGTCACAATATAAAGACCTCACGCAAACCAGAAACCTTGCATGAAAAGCCTCTAGGACCCCACCCAGGGGAGGGGTTTAGATACCAGATTTAAAGCGTATCTCCCTGGTCTTCAGCTGAGTCGTCAGGTAGAATTTTAAGTTAGTTCAGTTAACATTCAATTGGTTGCTACACTAAGACGAGTTAAGGAAAAGAGAGAGGAAAACAATGATTGCTGGAAGAGAAAAGACGCCGTTCAACTTCTAGCTGTCAGTAATGGTGAATAAGTACGTTTGTTTTGTTTAACTCGTATTTGCAAGTTGTGCGCGTCAAATTTGCAAAGTTTTCCAAGCATCTTTCTCACAGAAAACTGATGCTGTTGCTGATTCAGTATCGTAACGTTAGTTCAGAAGATGCCTGTGTTTCCTTAAACTCGCTCACGCATGGGCGCTGATTTGGTTTTGTTTGACAAAAATGTCTGATGCTATTATTTCCCTTCCTTTGGCCTTCATGCGCGCTGAACAATTGCAATATATCTACCAATGAAAACACTTTTCAAAGTGAAGATTATTGCGCTCACGTAGTGTAACGCAATCCTAATCCAGTTTGCATCGAGAATTTTTCGGACGGATTTGTTCGATTTGTCCCCCGCCCCCCGCACAGTAGTGGCAAACTACATCATGAGCGCATGCACGCAGTCGCTTATTCGCCTTATAGATTTGAACTGTGTGTGATTTTTGCAAAGCTGTATGTATTTTGACCCACTAGCCTTCGACAACAAGTCACTGAAGCCTGCGTTATCGGAAAAGAATGTTTTAATTGTAGCTCGGCGACGACAAATGGCCATGAGTTGTGGCTTAGAAAAAAGAAATCTTCCGTGTAGCTCGGCAAATGACCATGATGATTTTTGTGATCAGAAAATAAATTTTCCGATTTGTAGCTCAGAAAATTCTTTGTGGCCATAATTGGTTGTCAGAAAACAAACTTTCTGTATTGTGTAACTCGCCAAAAGGCCGAGTTTTGTGGTCCGAATGGTTAATTCACCTTTTTCATTTCTGAAAACAAGATGTAAATTCGAGCAATGCAAACAAATACAAACACAAAATTTCAAAAACATTTGGGGACGTGCTAACTTGCAAGGTCGCTGGTCAAATCTTTATTTTCTCAAGAAATAAGCTTTGTTGGCTATCCGAAATTAAATCCTAAGGGTGCGTTTCTTTAAGAAAATCCAAGATTGGATTCTTAAATCAGAAAACGGAGTTTGCGTTTCTTTTCTAAACAGATTAATCCAAGATCTGTCGGATCATGGTGCGTCAAAGGAACCGAAGAATCCACTCCAGATAAGGATTCTTCGGTTCATTTCTACTACTACTAGTAAACTTTAGCCTTCGTGTGGACGGCGAGGCAGAACTAATCATTTCTGAAGATGAAAAGACGCATCAATTCCAGTCTGTCTATGAGTCATGAAAATATACGTCCTATTCCATTTTAGGGACACCTTAAGATCAGTTGTAAAATGTAGCCTTTTAGTTTTGTTTTTCAAGTTTTTGCACTATTATACATTAGTACAAATCTACCAGCGTTCTATCACGAATGCCGTTCTCTGATTGGCTATGCTAATCACTATCTATTCTGTGATAGATAGTGAGTAGCGTAACAATGTGCCTTTGTTAACAAAATGACGGCCGCTTCTTGGCGTTTTCAAAGTGTCTGTGAAGAGGATTTAGATAAAGTTTTGAACGACTAGTAGATTTATACTAAAACAATTAGATTTTTCGCGTCGATTTCTATGCTGATAGTTGAGGTGGGCGCAGCGATAGAAATCTCGAGCTCATAATCTAATTGTTTAATATACAGCGTATTTAGCCCAATGGGTATTTACTTGCTCTTTTTGTAGATGCATTGATTAGTATATGTAATAGGACTACATGCTGTCCAATTTGGAAATAATTGGATGAAAAAAAATTCTGAGGACAGCCAAAGTTGGACCAGGCCGTAGGCCGAGTCCAATTTGGCAGTCCGAGGAAATTTTTGAATCCAGTTATTTCCAAATTGGACAAGCATTTAGTCCTATTACCTATTAATTATACAGGATACAAAAACAGATGAACAAGGCAAATATTTAATGGTCTAAAGTACAGTATTTCTCACTTCGCTTTGCTCAGCACGTCACAGGTGAAACACTTTAACACAGGTTTTTTGCTTCTTTGAGTGTTCTTGTTCTAAAAATCTGTACCTGTTCCATGTTAACTGTCACAGCCCTATTGTTATATAGAAAGTTGATTTCTCTGCGGTTTCTTCCTTGGTGTGATAATCTCATAGCACTTGGATGCCGCCGAATTTTAGTTTTTCTCTGTTTCTCGAAAGTAAAAAATAGGCGACTTGTACGTGCATTTCCAGTTCCAAGTCGTCAGCCCCTGGACCAAATTGGCTGAAATTCGGAGAGCAGGTTGTCAGAACGTTCGCCGACAAAACCGTGTCTGCGAATTCTGATTATTCTTCTCATTAAAAAGTTCTGCCTTTTTTTCGCGGGCAGTTCTATTTTTTCCCTTTTCAAACTTTATCCTCTTGTAAAAAAATAACAAACGCATGTGCCAAAAATCTGAGACACGGTTTTTGAGGTCAATGTGTGAAGAAACGGATGCCATGTTAATCGTTTTCTCCGACCTAAATTTAGCGTTTAGCGAATAGCGACATGTCGGACAGCCCTATGACCAGCTAGTCGGGCAGCCAACCAAACGTGCATCAGCTTTGAGGTAAAAACAAATTGATAAATAAAAACAAATTGCTTGATTTGAGGTTATACAGATTTATGATAGTTACACTAGCTAGGTAATCAACCCCTTCTGTCCTAAGAATAACCATAATCTTGTTTCTTTTGTACATGTGGACATGGCTGGGTAACAAAGTTTGCCACCGAGTTCAGTCGATTCCTTAGTTACCGATGTGAATTAAAACTTCTCCTCCTCCTCCTCCTCTTCTTCTTCTTCTTCTTCTTCCTCTCCCACCTTTACAAACCAAACAGCTAAGTTATTTACCAACTTAAAGTTGATGTCTTTCGATGCAGGTCGAGACTACGAGC